TTGCCGGAAGGAAAAAGCGCCACATCTGCTTGAGCAATTTTCTTATTCTTTATATACTTTGATTTTCCCATATAGCTTGGGAATACTGTGATTGGAATCTTACTTTAGAAATAAAGCAAAGCTCCGTGGAAAATAAGCGACACATGAGGCTTGCCTCTATTAGCTTTATTTTCCTAGGAGAGTTTTGAAAATTACTGCGAAGTTTTCAAAACGCCTTTGCTTTATTTTGAACCACATTTCATGGCATGAATGCATGCTTTGAATCGTCTGAGTTCATCTCTTTTATTTCCCGCGCCGCCTCGAGACAGGGGTGGGATGGGTGGGTAGCTACTCCCTGGCCAAAGGGCCGGAAAATTTTGTCCCTCCCTCCACTCCCGGGGTGTTCGTTGGCGATCCTCGTGTTCGCCATCGATCGGTGCGGGGATGTCACGACTTCCCCCTTCGGCTTTGCCGGAAGGAAAAAGCGCCACATCTGCTTGAGCAATTTTCTTATTCTTTATATACTTTGATTTTCCCATATAGCTTGGGAATACTGTGATTGGAATCTTACTTTAGGAATAAAGCAAAGCTCCGTGGAAAATAAACCCACTATCGCCGAGGCTAATCCTGATGAGCCTGATTATGAAAGCCTACCAGGGGTGGCCCTACCGAGGAAAGCAATCCCGTTGCCGCAACCGGCGCCTGAATGGCTTGAAAACAACAAAACGGCACGTTGTCCGGGATGCTTAGGTAGATCGCGCTTCCACTCTAGGCGTTGCAAAGTTCGCTTTCGTGATTACATCAGGGATACGCTCGGTGATCTTGACAATCCTGAACAGCAACAAGCCCCTGACAAGCCTCAAGTAAAAATCAACCCGAACCCTGAAGTTGTGGAGTTTGAAGAAGAGAGCTTGGACTACGAGCCCAGTCTTCCTGGGTCTCCTGTTCCTGAGGATCTGCAGCACCTGGTGCCCGAACCCTCACAGGCAGCCCAAGACTCTGAGCTCCCTCAGGAGTATCTCCCTGGTGGAGACGTTGAGATGGATCAGGTTGATATGGACGACTACACTGTGCCCATGGATGTTGCTCAGGTCCCGGATGTCCTTGACAGTGCGAGCATGCCTCAGTTCATGTTCTCAGTGATTCCGGACCAGAAGCATCACCTGAGTCCTGTTGATTACGGTGAGGTCGGCTTGTTTGCTGCCCAGCTTAAGAGAAAAGCACCCGCTCAGCACAGTAACCCCGATGAGGGGGTAGCCATGCCTTTCGGTGATCGGGAGGTGTGGGTCATCAAGCCCACCTCTGTGGTTGATGATGTCAGTGGCTTGCCTTTGGATCCTGAGAAAACGTGGGTTGGCATGCAGAAAGAGGTGTCTGCTATGCACAACTTGGGTGTCGGCAACGCCCGCACCTATGATGAGATTAAGACCCACTGCCAGGAGACAGGTGCCAAGATCATTAAGTCGCGTTTTGTCTTCACTGACAAGGTTGATGTTGACGATCAGCACATTGTGCGTGCGCGCCTTGTTGCAAAAGACTTTGCTTTCAATCAACCTTCGGCGCTTGACTTGGGCATTGCGAGCCAGACTGCTTCTGTGGAGGCCTTCAAGGCTTTCATCTGTCGTGTTGTCCAGGATACGCTTGTCCTTTGGGGACTTGACGTTTCGACTGCCTTCTTGTATGCCAAGTTGGTTCTTGATACCGTGCTTGAGTTGCCGGGATGCTTTCAGAACCTTGATGGCTCTAAGGTTTACGTCATCCTGGAGAAAGCCATATATGGCTTGAGATCGGCAGGCCTTTCGTGGCAGAAGCATCTTGCTGGACTTCTTGCTGAGTTGGGATTGTTTCCTTCTCTTATTGAACCTACGTTGTACAAAGGGTATTGGGGAGACATCCTTGTGCTTTGTCTTGTGTACGTCGACGACATCTTGCTAGCCACAAGAACGAAAGAGGCAAACCAACAGCTTCTAGACTTCCTCATGGGCCGTCTTAAGGTCAAGTTGACTGGACGCTTGGATGAGGACGGCAGGATCGGATTCCTAGGCCGTGAGATAATCAAGCGTGGCCATGAGATCTTGTTGGCTGTGAAGAAAGATTTTCGTCCCGGAGCGGAGCGTAGGGATAAATCTTTATTTCCTTTGAACAATCAACGGTTTTTCTCTGAAAACCGAGTGCACCAGTTTTCCAACTTTGTTTCCTTTGAGTCTTGCGAATACCTTGTCGTATCCGCATTTCTTCTCAAGGGAAGGGTGGGAGGGAAGTCCATTTCCTTCGGCATGAAGTGAATCAACTTTGTGCTGGGGGGTGGCGTAGTGCGTGCCGGTGGGTAGTTCTTAGGGGAGGGAAAACCCGTCCTGTGACGGGTGCCATGGATCAGCCTGGCTCTCTTGAGGACTTAGAAACTGCCGGTAGTGCCTTCAGGCTTCTGTCAGAGGCCCCAGACGCGAGTGTAGAGCAGACTCTGCAAGACGATCTTGTCTCCTGGAACCCGAATCCTGATTTCTCGAGCGACAGGGAGTGCATCAGCTCACATCGGGAGCCATCCGAGCTTGCAGTTGAGTCAGAGCCTGCTGATGCCTTCTTTGAAGGTGGTATTGGCTTGAGTTCTGAATCTGTGCCCGGGCTTCCTGCAGTACTCAGTGGCATCGAGCATAACCCGCAAGGTTATAGGAACCTTTTGCGCTCGTCGCACCTTGGCCTTCGTGACGAGCTTCCGAAGTTTCCTTGGGATGAAGGTTTTTGGAGCGACTTCTTCAAGCCTGTTGTGACGACTGACGACTTCTTGTCTTTTCCCAGGTTTGATAGGTTAAGCCCTCCGGTGGAGTTCCTGCAAGAGGCTTTAGAGGCAGATGAGCTGCCTGGGCCCAAACGTGCTCGCAAAGCTGTTACAGTCACCTTCGAGCGAGTTGTGTTAAATCGTGCTGTGATCTCCTGGAGAGATCAGCGAGAAGCCGACTTGAGCAGAGCGCTTATCAAGTGGTGTAGAGTTTTTGCAAGCTGGGACAGTGAATCTTCCCCTGTCACCCGTCAGCTTCAGGAAGCCGCCTCGCCTGAGGCCTGTCATGACCTCCTGGGAGATTATTTGGCCCGCAAAGCTCCCAGTACATGTCTCAAGCGTGCAAATAGCATGTTGATGTTGGGCAAGTCTGTAGCTTCCGAAGGCTTAACAATGCCCATGCAGGAGCCGTCTCTTTACTCGATTTTGAGAGATTGTAAAGCCGGTGGTGCATCCTTGTCAGCTTTGCGAGGCATCATGGAAGCGATCACTTTCGTGCACTTTACATTTGACATTTCGACTTTGCATGCCAGTGTCAAGAGCAAGAGATGTTGGGGCCTGTCCTCAGCCAAGCAAGCCACTCTTGCCTCTAAGGCGGACCCTTTCACAGTTGAAGAAATACTTGAGATGCATCGAATACTTTACGAAGGGGACGATCTCTGGGATCGTCTCATGTGTGGAGTGTCCCTCTTCTGCATCTACGCCAGGTGTCGATGGAGCGACTTCCAACATGTTGACTCGCTCTCTCTGGAGTGCAACGACCAGGGCTTTGCAGAGTTCGGCTCAGCTTTCATCGATGTGCATAAGACAATGAATTTCTCCTCAAAACTTCCGAAGTGTCTTGAGCTAGTTGCGGTAGGCCGTGGCCTCGATGGCAAAGATTGGCTCTGTGTGTTCATGGAGGTCCGAAAGGCTTTAGGCGTCGAGTACCACAAAGGGTACCCAAGCATGCCCGCCCCCGACAAATCTGGCGCCCCGACGGTCAGGGCTTTGGGATCTGACGAAGCAGGTGCGTGGCTCCGAGAGCTATTGCCTGGGCGTGAAGGCCGGCGCACCACCTCCCACAGCTTGAAAGCCACTCTGTTGTCTTTTGCAGCTAAGAGAGGGTTAGCTCACACTGACCGGCTGGCCTTAGGCGGGCACTTCCATGGGGCTCACATGGCTGATGTATATGCGCGGGATGCCTTAGCACGCCCATTGCGACTTCTGGCGGGCATGCTGTCTGAGATCAGGCTAGGAAAGTTTGCACCAGATGCTGGCAGGGCTGCTCGTTTTCCTGGGCGCACCAATGAGGAATTGATAGGGGCCGAGCTGCCCACAGGTGTCGCCCATGCCGCTCCCACGGAACCTCAGCCGCTAGGTGAAGTCCACCTTGGCAGCAGCAATCGCGACAGCAGCGCTAGGGGTCTTGAAAGCTTCTCTCAGTGGGATCTTGTCTCCTTGGGGGCACCGTCACATGCATCGAAGGCCGTGAAGTCGGATGCGTGCACTTCCCAGGCGGGAGGCGAAGTCATGAGTGTGAAATCGGACAGAACCGAACCTCCGAGTCCCGATTTTTCTGAGGGTGTTGGCGACCTGAGCCTCATGCCTGATCGAGCGCCGCAGGGATCTTTTGAGATAGTTCCGGACGACATCTCCGAAGTCAATCCCGATGACGGTGTCTCCTCTGACGGAGACACGTCGTCGGAAGGCTCCTCATCCGAGTCGTCTGATTCTTCTGAGGGAGAAAATCCGGAGCCCAGGCTGATGCCCCCGCCTTCGCCTCCTGAAGGTACCTTCTTCATGCAGCATCGCAAGCTCAAAACTCTGCATTTGTTGTTGACCGGGCACCGCAGCTTCACGCTGTGCGGAAGACCGTTGCAAACTATCGACAGCCCCTTCATTGAGCCTGGCCGGCTGAGGTACGATACCCCAGTGTGCAAGCAGTGCAAGAGATCTCTAGCTAACCCTGGGCGCGACTGAGTTTTGCTGAGGGAGTGGAAAGAGAGAGTGTGTGCGTGTCATGGTAGAGGGTTTCATGTCGGGTCGTGAGCCAAAATCATCAGGACAGGCAGCTGCCCCTCGATGTGCCGCAACTCGTCCCTTCTGCTCGCTTCTTCCCTCTCTCTCTCCTCCCTCTCTCTCTGGTCTTGATCCTTCTCTCTCAACATGTGAGTTTGCTTGATGGATCACACGCTGAGAGTCGGGTGCAGCAGCTTTGTCTCAATTCATTAGGACGGACAAGCCCATAGTGCTGAGAGTTGCCATGACCCTCGTTGACAGCGAGGCTGCTTTTGCAGCTAGGTGTAAGGAGATATGTGGCGACGATTCTCTTCACACATTGCTGCAAGCCTCGGGGGTGCAAACTCACTCAGCCTTGGCCTTCAGCTGTGGAACTCCGAAGGCGCAACCCACGGAAGCAGAATTTAAGGCTTTTGCTGAGTCAGTTGTCGGGAGCCCAGCGTCCATAGGCCGCGTGAGCCAGCTCAAAAGACTTCATTTCGAATCCTCGACTTTGGTCATTGCCCAGTTGCGCGCACTCGTAGAAGGGGATTCAACAGATGCTGGAAAAAGACTTCCGGCAGCAGAGAAATCCGCCCGACTTGCGGATGCCAAGAGGCGTTTGAAAGGCCTTGTCATCGAGGATGAGATGGAGCCGAGTCATGCCCTCATTGATGCAGTTTCCCATATGGGCGAGTCGAATGCGGTGGTTTGGATCCCACCGTCGAAGTGCACTAAGAGGGATGCCGAACTCAAGCTTGGGCTTCGCGACAAGCAAAAGTACTTGACTGTTCAGGAGCAATCAGTCACCTTGGCCCCGGCTCCAGATAAAATCGTCGCTGAGCATGGGACTCCCTTGGAGGTCCAGTGGTGTCTCCAGCGCCGAGGCTTGGCTTTCTTCATGTGCGGCTTCATGGAGTGGGAGACTCACGAGAAGTGGGTCGCGTCTCTGCTTAGATGTTTGTCATCGGATGTTCCTCCGGGGTACGCACCCATTTCGATGCAGCAAATTTTGCGAGCAGATTCCGAAATCTTCTTGCTTTTAGCCCGTGAGGTCAAGCGTGTCAAACCTGACAGCAGTGGTGTGATGGAGATGGATGTTCTTATGAATCGGTTCCGTCATGACCCTCGGATCACCACTTATCTTCAGCCACTTCAGCGTGGATCAGCCTCTCAGGGAGTCGCTTCGCCGAGTCTCGCAGGTGAGGTCGGATCATCCCTTCCTGATCTGAGGCCTAGCAAACGCCAAAAGAAGAGAGACGCTAAGCTCAAGGCCCCTATCAAAACTGCAAATCTGCCTGAGGAGTTGAAGTCGTGCCCGTACCATGCTGATTCTTCAGGCAACCGGTTCTGTTGGCAGTTCAATCTCGGTAAGTGCAATGCCGAGTGCAAGGGCAGTCCGCCTGCTTGCAGCCGTGGTGTTCACGGTTGCATGACGTGCAGGCGCTTAGGCCATGGGCATTCTTCTTGCTGGTTCGCCCAAGCAGGCAAGGGCAAAGGCAAGAAAGGCAAGGGAAAGGGCGACAAGAGTGATTCGTCTTCCCCTAAGGAGTGACTAGCTCCTAGCAGTGTTGCACCCTCTTCTGAGGGGCCCAGGCTGCGATCTCGCAGCCCCAATCCTGCATGTGAATTCCGTGTGTCAGGGCAGCAGCCCAAGTCTGTCGGCCAAGATGAGGCCGAAAGTGTCACCAAACCTTTCACAAATGTTCACGATGATTCCGAACGTGACTCTGTGCTTTCTCCTGAAGCTGATGTCAACGCGGCATGTTCCGCGTTCAATTTCAGCTTCGCTGCGTTCATGGGGAGCACATCCAGTGTTCCAGGTGACCCTTGTGAGTCACTTGCTTCGAAAATTCTTGAGCATGGCAACTGCTCATCTGAGCAACTGCTTGAACTCTCGAACATGCTACCAAGCGAGACTCCAACTCGAAGTGATGGAGCCGCCCCGTCAGGACGTGCCTTCACGACTGGAGCATACTACCACTGTGGCACTGTAGGTGTCAGGCATAATGCGCGAGCTTACCCACTGGCCTCGCGTCTCCTTGCCACTCTCGCCGCCAGTGTATTCCCGAATTTTCATTTCACAAGTGTCGGCCTTTTCAAAGATGTAAAAACTCGCAGGCACCGTGACCTCAGGAATCTTCCTGGGTCTTTGAATGGCGTTGCACCTCTTCGCCCATTCTGCGGTGGTGCAGTGAGGCTGCATCACCCTAGTGGTCCTGAGGATTTGCTGGTCTCAGCAGGGCCCGTCACGTTTGATGCGACGGTAGAGCACGAAACTTTAGACTGGACCAACGGTCCCCGTCTTGTACTTGTGGCTTTCAGTGTGTATGGAATTTCCAAAATTCCAGTTTCAGATGAGAGCTGTTTGAGGTCCCTGGGTTTTGCGCTCCCAGGTGGTACCGATGCACCTACAACCACAGCTGCTTCTGATACCGTCTCTGGAGTCATTATAGATGTATTCGCTGGCGATGCCGCCTTTTGCAAAGCCGCGCACAAAGCCGGCTTTAGAGCCCTAGCCTTCGACCTTAAGCCCCAGCGTGCCCAATTCCCAATTCAACCTCTCGACATAACGCAGGCCGATGAGCTTGCGGTGCTCCTGGAGGTGATTTCCGAGCACGCAGGTGCTACGTCATTGGTGCAGTTCACTGTCCCGTGCTTGAGTACCTTCTTCACGTCAAAGACTGGATCATGGAGTTTCGCTGAGTTGCTGGTGGATGCTGTCTTTCAGCTTTGTTCGCATTGCAGGGCAGTGGGAGTTCCTTTTGCGATTCTGCACCCTGCTACATCGCGCTTCTGGCACATGCCGTCTTGCCAACGCTTCTTCCAAGCTGCAGACGGTGAATGGACTACATTTGACCAATGCATGCATGGAGGGGCCCAGGATCGCCGCGCTTTCTGGTGGGCCTCAACTGCTTTGTTGCGCCCTTTGCAGGCAACCTGCTCCAAGGACCACAAGCATTATAGTCAAGCTGCTTCGGCCCCACAGTGGCCTCATTTGCTTTGGGATCGTGCTGTAGAGTTACTGTGCCAGCACTCAGGCTTCACGCCAACTACATCATCTTTGTTTGGTCCTCCGGGTCGTGACCTACGGCCTGCTATGGGCAAGCAATCTCGTAAAGCCCGGCCATTGGTCAGCGAATTCTGCAAATATGATGCTTGGGCAGTGCCTCTTCGTGCCGAGCACCCTGTGCTCCAGCTCCTGAGATGCTACCCTAAAGGAGCCCGTGCAGTAAGACGCAAACTTGTTGATCCGGGGTTGGTTCGGGTTTGCGTTTTACCTTCTGTTGACTTGTGCAAGGTCGATGATGTCTTGTCGAGCCCCTGGACATGGTCCACTAAGCATTGCACGCACGATGCGCACACACCGACCAAGGATTTCTCTGATGTCTGCGGCTTATTGCCTCCGACTGAGCATTCTCCAGTGCTTGAAGTTGTATGGATTGGCATCCCCCGTGAACCGGATGACTTTTTACGTCGAGCAGTGGCAGCCGGTCACCCGAAATCCCTTCTTGATGTCGAAGCCGATCCGCACATGACCTTGCTAATAGACAACCTTCTGAACAGCAGTGTCAAACATCCAGACAAAGGTTTGCATGAAGTTCAGCGTTGGACCGAGCTACGGTCGGACCTCTCCGAATCCCAGGATTTGTGCAAAAAGGAGTGGCCCATCCATGTGGCGCAGGTTCTGGATGCAAAGCCAACTCTGCTGATGGACGAATTGCTCACACAGCACGACTTTCCAGACCGCCACCTTGTGAAGCACATGACGCAGGGGTTTAGGCTTACGGGCTGGGTTTGTAGATCGGGTCTTTTTCCCTTTGACCCTAAGCCTCCCGCCTCCACCTTAAAAAGTCAGCTCTCTATGGCAAAGTCCAGAAACACCGCCACCTTGACGAAGCTCTCCAAACAGGCTCCGGATGAGGTGTCTCGTCGTGCCTGGGCTGAAACACTTGAAGAAGTTGACAAAGGTTGGATTGAGGAAGACGAAAACCCAGATCTTTCTACGGTCCTTGTTGCCAAGCGGTTTGGGCTTTTACAAGGTCCGAAGGTCAGAGTCATAGACGACTGCCGTGCTTGTGCTTTCAACTTGTTAGCAGGCATCCCTGAGAAATACAGATTACAGAGCGTCGAATACATCGCTGCCTTCCTCTTGCGAGCCATGCTTGACCCTCGCAGCAAAGGCGTTAGCATCTCAGGGAAGACACTTGATTTGACTGCGGCGTACAAACAGTACGCCACACATCCCTTCGATCGTGACCTTTTACGGATTGGCGTTAAAGACACTTCAAGCGGACACGTTCGCACTTTCAAAGTGAATTCCTTGCCTTTCGGAGCGACGGGTAGTGTGTCAAGCTTTCTCAGATGTGCAGCTGCGATCTGGTTCTTGGGATCCCACGCATTGGGAATCCCATGGACCAACTATTTTGACGATTTCCCGATTTTCTCCAAAGATTCCGACTGCGACCTAGTGGAAGAAGTAGCCACCAGTTTTCTTGACCTTTTGCACGTGTATTTTGCACGCGCTGGCAAGAAAGCCACTGTGTTTGCAAAGGCTTTCAAAGCGCTCGGCCTTATCATCGATTTGAGCCATTTCGGCGAAGGATATGTGACCATCGGTCATACTCAAGAACGTGGGGATGAGCTGCGTGCGACAATCACCCGCATTCTTGAGTCCAACCGCCTTTCGCACGCTGAAGCCGAAAGCTTGCGAGGCAGGCTCCACTGGTACACTTCATTTCTTTTTGGACGCAGATCTTCTCAAGCTTTGAACGTCCTGAGCGACTGGGTAAATCGAAGTGCATCAAAAGGCATGCTGCCTACAGAACTCCGAGAGTCCCTCATGTTCCTCAGGGACGTAGCTCTCCATTCTGCGCCGCTAAAAATTTCGAGGAGTTTGCAGCGAACTTTCTTGATTTTTACTGACGGCAGCTTGGAGGGAAACTTTGCTTGTGTGGGAGGCATTCTGCACGATAGTCAAGGCGTGCCCCTAGCCTTTTTCTCAGTCAAGCTGAACCAAGCCTCTACTGAGAGACTCCACCATCACTCTTCGCATCCCATATATGAGATTGAGTTGCTAGCTGTGTGGACGGCACTCACCCTTTGGGAGAGGCATATCCATGACAGCTACTCTGTCTTTTACTTAGACAACGAAGCAGCTCGCGGAGCTTTGACGTCAGCCAGATCTTCTACTTTGACAGGTACGAAGATCGTCGAGTCTTTCTTGAGACTGGAAGATCGATCGTTATGCAGGCCGTGGTTTGGTCGTGTGCCAACCCACTCAAATTGCGCAGACGATCCGAGTCGTGACTCCTTCCAACATCTCATAAGGCAGGGGGTCCGCAGAGACTCTCTGCTTTGCGATTGGCCCTTTTGAGCTGCTGCTCTCTGGGGCTCCTTGGGGGCAGCTCGTTATGCCAAACGGCATCCAGCATGGTTGCTCTCGAATGACGTTACCCCTTTGCCCTTTTTGAGTAAAACGAAGAGTCCGACTCGGTTAGCGCAAGTTTACGGGCTCCGCCCTTTACGCTCGGGTGTTCCCCGCCTTAGTGCACGTTTGAGGAAAGAAATAAGATTTTCGTCCCGGAGCGGAGCGTAGGGATAAATCTTTATTTCCTTTGAACAATCAACGGTTTTTCTCTGAAAACCGAGTGCACCAGTTTTCCAACTTTGTTTCCTTTGAGTCTTGCGAATACCTTGTCGTATCCGCATTTCTTCTCAAGGGAAGGGTGGGAGGGAAGTCCATTTCCTTCGGCATGAAGTGAATCAACTTTGTCCCGCCCGCCCTCACCTTTTTATTCAACCATTGCTGAGCCACTCCCTTGGCCCTCCTTGGGGGCAGCTCGTTATGCCAAACGGCATCCAGCATGGTTGCTCTCGAATGACGTTACCCCTTTGCCCTTTTTGAGTAAAACGAAGAGTCCGACTCGGTTAGCGCAAGTTTACGGGCTCCGCCCTTTACGCTCGGGTGTTCCCCGCCTTAGTGCACGTTTGAGGAAAGAAATAAGAATACGTCGATTCGATCTTCGAGGCTTTTGGGTGGAGCCAGGAGAACCGCAGGAAGATGAAGCCCTGCACTGCACCACCAGACCTCCGATCGATCCTTGACAAGGAAGACCCCGAGAAGCCCTCCGAAGAGCTCTCCCCTGAAGCCGCGAGCCGCTTTAGAAGCACCCTAGGGAAACTAGGCTGGCTTGTGCAAACCAGGGGGGATTTGTGTTATTTTCACTCCATGCTGTCTAGAGGTCAAGCCTGTCCGCGCGCTGTGCATGAGGATTGTATGCGTAAAGTGCTCCGTTGGCTTTTGGAGGTTCCCGATCTTGTTCAGGTCTTTCAGAAGGACTCCAAAGCTCAACCTGGGACTGCAACCCTCGTTGGATTCAGCGACGCTAATTGGGCCTCTGAGCGCTCTACTGGACGGAAGAGCACCAGCGGAGGAGTGATTTACCTGAATGGGAATTGTATCAAGACTTACTCGAGGCTCCAGCCTATCGTAGCACTCTCCAGTGCGGAGTCTGAGCTTTTCGCTATGGTTGAGATGGCGCGCGAGCTTGTAGGATTGGGGCAGCTTTTGGGCCACCTTTTCGAAAGCGTTGCGCAACCCCTATACCTGCCTACGGACAGCTCTTCCGCTCGCCAGGTCAGTATGATGTCCGGCTTCCTGAGAAGGATGCGTCACGTGGACCTTCGTCTTTGCTACTTGCAAGAAGCGTCTCGGTTCAAGCGAACTGGTAGCGGTGGGCCCTCGCTCGGGTCTGGGTTTGGGTTTGTTCAGGGCACCCGGGTTTCCCCTCCTTCGTGTGGTTTTCCCCGTGTTGCCCAGTTCGTTCGGCCCTTGCGAGGTGTAGGGGCGGGTAGCGGGGCGGGGTAGCGGCTCATAGCACCCTCTGGTGCTGTAGTGCCATTAAGCGTCGTCCCGGCTGCCCGGGCTTACTCTTGCACTGCACCACGGAGTTGATTCATTTGAAAACCTTGGCACGGGATCAGGTCATTGATCACATAGCACGAGATCCCTCCTACGGGGACCGCCTCGCAGCCAGCTTGTGGCAGCACTTGGAAGCAGCTGACTTCTTCGTATCTGCACTGGACATTTTGCCTCGAGCAGGTGGCCTTTCCCTTGTTGCTTACGCGTCAAGGAATTATCCTTCTTTGGTAGAGGCCACAGAAAGAGAGCTCGGAGCTCCTTTGACCAGCTTGCTGCAGTCAGGTCCTCTCAGGACATGAACCCTGCAAGGTTGCCAATTGCCAATCTGATTTTCAGTCTGATTTTCAGCTTGATTTTGGGTGCGTGCTTTTCTTCATTTAGTGTTTTGCAGATGGATCCAACCACAAACAGCGAGCATGATTTTCACAGTGTGCCGTCGTCGGGCGCTTCAGTGCCCTTGAACGCGCATGCACCGGAGTTCGTGCCTGCTACGTCGCAACCTCAGAGAGTTCCTGCATTGCACTCTGAAGCCGAGTTAGGGATTGAACCTGCGGTTTTGAGTGAGCCTGCGCTTGAGATTGTCTCTTCTTTTGCATTAGGACACACGCTGAACCCGCATGCTCCTATTTTCATGCCGCACACCCATGATGATTATTACCCAGCCCGAGAAAAGCCCACAGAACTACCGTACATGATGACCACAGGAACCAGCCCTGGTCCCAAGTCCAGGGGCAGGCCGCATTTTGCAGATCACACAAGTGCAAGAAAGCCTGCAGACGCGAGGGTTGGATCGGAGGCCGACGATCCTGGAGCCGCATCGCAAGACTCCATGTACCGCCAATCAGAGGCGAAGCCAGGCCATAACACCCGCAAGTTGCCCCATCGCAAGAGGGCACTTCGCAGAGCTATCACTACGGCACAGCAGTTTGGAGTAGCACCTTACCGAGGCTCAGTTTTCGAAGGTAGGCATTTGCAAGTGCACAGGGCCGCTGGCCCAGCCACATCCCGTGACGCAGGGGAAGACGCCACGACCGGCACGCCGGCACGGCCCTCCTGTACACATAGGCTTGGCAGCTCAGGAAGTGCACGGATTCAAGTTGCCAAAGCTTCTGCACATGCTCCCTCACCTAGACGTTGCAGCCTGCTCACGTGGAACGCTGGGGGACTGACCACCCTGGTGTGGTCAGAACTCAAGGCGTGGCTCTGCGCACACCGCAATCAGATAGACATTGTTTGCATTCAAGAAACATTTTGGCGAGAGGACCTCATGTGGGATGACGATCATTGGTGCTTTGTGCACCACAGCAGTGGGGCCCCCAAGGAGGCCGGCTTGCTGACCTGCATATCCAAGCGTTTGGCCACCCCTGAGGGCATTAGGCATAGCTCCATCATCGCAGGTAGGTTGCAGCACTTGCGGATCACACCCAAAGCAGGACATCAGCCTATAGACCTTCTTCATGCATATCAGTTCGCCTGGCACCACCGCAAACAGGACAGCAAGAACGACTGGTGGCAGGATGCCATGCGCCGCAGGGCTCAGTTCCTGCAAAAGCTGTGTAGCTCCGTTCGATCGCTCCCTCGTCGTAACCTTTTGTGCATCACAGGTGACCTGAACACACAGCTTGCATCATGCAAAGGAGTCGTCGGCCTTGGTATCCCTTCTACCCCTCCCCCGCAACAAGACGGTCAGGACCTGCTGCACACGTTGTGCACATATGGACTGGTGGCGACCAACACCTTTGGTCAGGCACCGGGTGCAACGTTTGTCAATCCTGCCACAAATGCCCAAACACTGATTGATTACATTATTCTACGTGGGGCACATGCCGACGGCACCAGTCTTGCCAGCGGACCGGTGCAGGATTGGCCGGTGGCCATGGGCCGATTGGGCTCTCGACACATACCGGTCCGAGGCTCTTTTCCTTTCACGTGGTGTCCCTGGGTGCACTCTCGTTCTAAGCAGCTGACTTTGAAGCCTAGGTCCGTTTGGGAAGCAGTTCGGAACGACCCCGCACGACAGCAAGCCTTTCGTGACAAACTGAGGGTCACCCTACCCCAGCAACCCACAATTGCTGACATAGATCGATGCTTGACTCAGGCCTGGATTCACAGCCAACCGGCGGGTGCACGGGGAACCCTTGCACCGGCGGGGACAGCTGCTACTGTGTCGGCCGAAGCCACAGCCGTGCGCGCTCTTTGGCAATTGCGCAACGAACGGGATGCGCTGACCCATAGGCCACCTGTCTACTGCCTGCGTGCAGCCTTCGCGGCATGGAGGCTTGATCATCAGATCCGTGCACTTGAGCGCAAGATCGTTGCTGAGCGCCGCGCTCGCAAGAAGGCCTTTCTTCTCGAGCAAACCGCTTTGGCGGAGCGGGCGGCACAGCAGGGCCAGATGTCTGCATTGTATCGTGTGGTGAACCGCCTTGCTCCTCGCAAGGTCAGGGCACGGTTGCAAATCCGCGATCCCGAGGGCAACCTTCAGGATCCACAGGCGGAATGCGACACACTTTTGCAATACTTCAGGGATCTTTTTGCTTCTTCGAAGGCTTGCCCGACACAGGTCTTCGATTGCAGTGTTCAGCTTTTCGACTCCAGCATGTGCACAGCGGCCCTTGAATCTCTGTCGGCTTTGAAGGCCGCGCATCCATCGGCTTCGCCTGGAGTCCTATGGAAGCTCGATGCACAAGAGGTGGGCCCGGTGCTCAGTGACTGTCTCAATGCTGCCTTTTCGAACGTACCCCACATGCTTCCCCTGCCCATTAGGCGGGTCTCGCTTTGCTTATTGCCGAAACCCACCAAAAAGTCGCAACAACCATCGGATACTCGCCCAATCAGCTTACTCAGCCCGGCAAGTAAAGTACATGCGATCATGTTATCGGAGCTCATTGCACCGTATCTTCAACACTACATTGCTGATGTCCCTCAGTATGCATACGTGAAGGGGCGATCCACTGTTGAAGCGCTGCACCGTGTGGTATCACACTTTTATAGTGTCCGAGCGGCAGCCCCCACCAGAGAGCGCATGGTACAACGACGACGCGACTCAACCTCCAGAGCTCAATGCGTGGGGGGGGTTACATTCTCTTTGGATGTGGCCAAAGCGTTCGACTCTCTCCCCAGGTCGATGATTGCTGCTGGTATGCGAGATGCCATGATCCCTGAGCCCATTGTTCAACAGGTCCTCGCCATTCATTCCCAACTTCTTGTTGAGCTTGAACATTGCGGCCTCAAAGCTTCTTGTGCCACCTCTCGGGGGGTTCGTCAGGGGTGTCCATTATCCCCTGCCTTATGGGCGCTCTCGACGGGTTATGTGTACCGACAGCTACTTGTTGCGCTAGGTCCCCACGCGTCAGAAATACTCACCATTTATGCTGACGATCTGATCGCACAGTGGATGATTCGAACATCCTCGGATCTAACCGACTGCCTTGCACAATTGCACAAACTGGTGTTGATTTTACGTTCTCATGGCATGGAGGTCAGTGATACCAAGAGCGTGATTCTTTACCAGTTGCATGGCACACAGGCTGAACGCACCATGGGCAAACTTCGATTCAAAGACAAAGGTGTCTTCAAGCTGCGGGTGGCACCCGATTGCGCTTTTCCGGTTGTTAGGAAGCACCCATATCTCGGCATCATTCTCAGCTACGGAGCCTTGGAACACCACAGCATCACCCACCGGTACCACCGGGCAGGGCAGCTTTTCTCCAGGCTTCGACAAGTGCTCAGTGCCAGACACAATCTCAGCCGCCACCAGGCGGCGTTTGTGGCTGTCGACGGTATGGCCATGTCTGAAATACGGGATCTCGGCACTACAACTTGAAGCCAAAGACACTGTCAGGATCCGGGGCATCGTTGCCCGACACCTTCGCATCGTCAGTGGACAGCTGTCCAAGGACACACATGTGACCACGGATGCCTTCCTCAACGAGCTGGGTCTCGATCCAGTCGCGCTCCTCTCGCAGGAAGCCGCCGCCAACTTGACCCGATTCCAGGCCCTAGACCGGTCGCTTCAACTCGATCGGGTTGCACAGTGGCATGTCATTCTTCAGGCCGCGTTCGCGCAGCCACCCGCTGCTGCACCGCAGGCGCCGAACATTGCTCCCACATCTCAGCCGACACCCAGTGCACACCGAACGCACTTTTTGCACAGAGGCACTTTCACGAATGGACCGGATGTCTCTGAAGCCCACGCTTCGACTGGCACTCAGAATGCTGCACCGACGCCAGCACCTGCCCCGGATTCAGGTGCCACTCGGGCTGCTGCATCACTTCATGAAGTGACCTTAGTGGCCAGCCCATATGCTTGCCCTGATTGTCCGTGCACCTTCGCGAACTCAGGTCTGCTCCAGCGCCACCGGGTACGTGCACATGGCGCTCAGGCGCATCGGGATGTCAAGAAGGCCCTCGCCTCAATCAATCAAGTTGAGCACTCCCTCAACGGGGTTCCCACATGCAAGTACTGCCTTCGTGAGTTCAATGGGTGGAGAAATTTTAACTTGCACATTCAGTTTGATAGTTGTGTGCCCAAGCGGCTCAATACCGCTCAACCTCTTCTGCTGGGGTCTTCGGACCGGGAAGAGGCTCCATCTTCTGCACCCACAACGGCCGTGCAAGCTAGTGAGACCCTCAGCGAATGCGCACCTGTTGCGCCACCGGAGACTGCACCACCATCCCCCCCCCCCCCCAGCACCTTTTGCTGCCAGGCTGATTGACGAGCCCTGCCTGAGAGCGGAGCCCAGGGAGCACCTCAGACGCTGGCAAAATATTGCCTCTAAGGCAGAATTGCATGCTCGCATGGCGCACCACTGCCCAGTATGCAATCTTTGGGCGAACGACGGCAGTCGCATCAAGATCCACATTCGTGCCAAACATCCATCGGCTGTAGATAGGTTGAATCAAGCTGTCAAGGAAGCCAAGGCTGTTCAGGTGCAACGTCCATGTCAGTTCTGTTCGCAAGCTTACCGATGTGCTCCATGTAGGCATGCTGAGGGCTGCACGGTCATTTGGCAGTCGGTCTTCTCTAGTCTCGATCCCGATTTACTCCCCAGTCCCAGCCATGACGATGGATGTGGACCAGAAGTTGACTCACGACCAAGAGGAGGAGAGAGAGTGGGAGCTGTACTCGGCGTTCATGAGCACAGCCATGACGACGACACCCTCGACGACACCCAAGCGACCGCTAGAGCCCCCAAGCAAGCTTCAGAAGACAGACCCCAGGCAGGGAAAAGGCAAAGGAAAGGGCAAAAAGGGCGGAGGCAAGGGCAAAGGCAGTGCCAACAGCAGTCAAACAAAGGACGAGGAAGTCGCCCAGCTTTGGACCCTGTGCCACATGATGATCCGCTTGATGGTACGGCACGAGGACTCGATCAAGACTCTCATGCTGGACACATCCTTCGTCATCTGGATGCGCACAGGCTTGCCGGGTGGAGTCCCGGAGGCCCTGTTTGCGGTGGCGACCAAGTGGAAGGCCGATCGGGAGACCACTCCTCCCACATCCCCGCTGCGGCTCACCCTGTGGATGTGTGTATGGCGCGAGTTTCTGAAGCGACTGCAACCGGCTCGCATGACACAGGAGATCCAAACCAACATGAAGAAGCTCGGCTTCCTCACAGACGAGGGCAAATGGAACTTCCTTCGGTGGGACCCGGATCAGGCCAAGCTGATCCCAGACACCACTCGCCCACCTTTGACGGCGGCGGCCGCGATCGAGCTGGTGGAGAGTGTGATCCGATTGGCGACGGACTCCCAGCTGCTGACTCGGTTTGCCCCCACCAGGCCTCTGGCATCGGAACTCAAGGGCCCATCGATCACCTTCCTGGCGTCGGTGTCCAATCGCACCACACCGAGCGATCAAATGCACGCCTCCCTCGCGGAGCTCTGCGGCAGCGCTTGCTGCCAGGTGATCGGCATGTCCATCAAACCCGAACGATTGACGAGGTCCCCTCTTGCTCAACAGATCTGCAAGTTCCTGCCTGCACCGCCCCCGCCGCCGCCCCAGCCTTAACCTTAAGCTCTCCCTCGGTACCAGCTAATACCCCAGTGAGCACCTCCCTCAGACTAAGCAGCAAGGTCGACGACGCCATCCAGCTGAGGATGCGCCTCACTAACGGCTCCAACCTCTGCTATGCCAACGCCTCACTGGCAGCCTTGCTTTGGTGCAGTCGTGCATGCAATCAGGCGGTGATTCCGAGACATGTGTTCATCGCTTTGGAGGCTTGCATACTGGGACGGCAGCCTTTTAGCCTGTGGAGCCTGCTTGGGTGGCAACAGCTCCTTGCTGATTGGAGGAATCCTCGAGAGCAACACGATGTTGCTGAGTTTGTGCAACACCTTCAGGCGCGCATGCAGACTCCTGCACTTCAGGGACTGTGGCAAGCCCGTGATTCCCATGATCAGGTGCGGGATTCGGGAGACACCTGTCCACTTCTTTTGACCGCGCCTCTGTTAAGTCACTTCTCTGTTCAGTTGCTCGTCGATTTGTGGCACACCCAGGCCCCAACGCATGCTCTGCTTCAGACGCCGGAGTGCCTGATCCTTCAGCTTGCGCGGTTTGATGTAGACGATGCTGATGCCCAAAAGGTTTTAGAACCCGTTACTCTCGACCCTGTCCTGAAGGTTCCTTACTTCTCAGGCCACTCCACTAGGGTCTTAGAATACCACTTACGAGCGGCCATCGTCCACATTGGCCCCCGAATGGCAACTGGCCATTACAGAGCGGCTCTGTTTGAGGATATGGCACGTAAGGTTTTCTACACTGACGATAATCGGGTTGCTAAGCTTGCCAAGCCTGCCGAACTTGCTGAGATACATGCGAATGCTTACCTTGTCTGCTATACCAAAAAGCCACGCACAGTGCCATCTCCTCAGGGGACAGCTGTTGCGTAGTCGCGAGTGCAAGTGGTTTCGCGTCACTCGTGTGTGACCTGCAGTCCCCAAGTGCTTCTGCACTGCAGTTTTGGCCGTAGTTCCGTAGCTGCTGCCGTAGCCCGTAGTGTTGAGCTTCAAGCTCCTGCCGTAGCTCGTAGTTCTGCGTACCCTAGGTACAAGTTAGTGTTCTGCTGCACAAAGTGCGGCGCCTCTCGCGATGACCCACAGTGGTCCATCGGCGGGTTCGCAAAGGACTTTTTGGAAAGCGAAAAGCTACTTGCAAGATAAGGTTGAGAACGGCGAGATCCTGGTTACACACGTCCCAGGAACAGATAACGTCGCCGACTTGCAAACAAAGAACTTGAGTGTCGCGCAAACTTGGTATCATATAGGACAGTTGTGTCTTGAGGAACGTCTCACCCGTAGTGACTATCTTCGAGGTGATGCGCCCCCGGTCCGTTGCCTTGTGTTTGCCGCGTTCAAAGGTCTGTTTTCTGCAAGCGTCGATGATCCTTGGAGTGTGTTGGTTGGTCGTTGTCGGTTGCAGACACCGCATTACATTGTGATGGTCGAGTTCTGCACCTCTGGAGAAGCCTGGTTGACTAAGCTTGCTAGCCACTATGGCATCCATGCTATTCCCGTGACGGAAGAAACGGATGGGACTCTTCCGGAGACCATCGAGCTCATTGAGCACGCCCTTCGTGCGGCACACCGTCGGAACATGCATGTTGTTGTGTGGGCCTCGACGCCCTGTACCGGTGGTTCGCCTTGGCAGCGCTACCACCAAGCCCGATCTGCAGATCACTATGATGAAAGGATGAAAGGACTTTTCACAGTCCACCGAAAGCTCTGGAAGAGCTTCTTGAAGCTAGTCAACACATCTGATTCGGCAACTTGGGTCATTGAGTGGCCGCAACGTTGTGCTTACTGGGGATGGTCCGCTACGAAGTCATTCCTTAAGATCAATCCGCATGAGACCGCTCTTGTGCATGGTTGTGCCTGCGGTATGGTTGGAATGGACGCACTTCCTGTGAAGAAGGTTTGGAGGTTGTGCTCGAACAGTCATGTTCTCATTCACTGCATGGATAAATTAAAGTGCCCTGGAAACCACGAGCATAGTAAGATGTTCGTTCTGAAGAACACCCAGCACTACCCCGAAGCTTTTGCTCACACAGCTCTTAGGGCTTTGAGTGCTTGGTAGGTGCTGACGCCTCTTTGTACAGCCGCAGCCGTTTTTGGAAGAGCCATAAAACTATCGTGGACCGTGAGAAGATCTACGAGCCCATACGCAACAGCAGCCACTGGACCGGTACCTTTTCTCGACGACAGGTTCATGAGGGGGAGTTGATTTTCAATCCTGGCTCAAGCTGTTGTGGTTCAAACTGGCAAGCGCCGCACCGTTGCCGTCGTGGCACTGGGCTCTTGAGGCCGTATCTAAGGGTGGGTCCCAAAGAGCACTCGAAACCAATCTCTGTGTTTTCTCGTAGGCTGCCTGAGCAGCACGGGACGCGGGGGGGGTAGCTGCAGATACACTCCGGTGTGCGTAGTTGAGCCATTGCAAACCAACAGCTTGCGCAAACCCTTGAACCTTGAAACAATCTTGCTTGCACAGTTCGCTTGATTTTCTTGGAAAAGGGAGTTGTTTTGAGGGCCTTGCTTGCAAAAACGCCCTAGTTTGTTGCCAACTTTTCTTGTCGTACAGTTTTCTTGAAGAGAGGCGGCAGCTGCACGTGAGCTGCTGGTAGTTGTAGCTTAGCCTTTAGTCTGTCCTGTGACTGTCCTAGGTGGAGCCTCGCCAGGTAGTTGTAGCTCAGCCCGCAGGTCTGCAGACGAGCTTAGGCTGAGGCATCTCGCCTGCAGGTTTCCCAAGCCAGCCGATGCTAGGGTGTCTTTCCTGGGGTCCTTTGGCGCGTTTTGAGTAGGCAATTTGATGCAGCCGGTCTTGTGCCCTGTTTGGTCGTGTCGTCCCCTGCTGACTGCCGGCCTCGCTTGGTTGCTAAGCAAGTTTGAGGCACTTCCCCTGCTGCTTCCTTACAGGCCTCTATCGCCAAGGCTGGGTTTGGTGTTGGAGGTCCTGTGTGTTGCTTTACCCAGCCAGGGTTTCTCACAGCCCTGCTTCTTGGAGCATTGCAGCTTGTCAGGTTTGCTGCGATAGCCCGCCGGGCCCTTTTGAGCTTTCTGGCTGCAAGGGCGACGATGGGTATCTCCATTTCAGGGTGAGATTTCTCCCCTTTTGCTTCTATTTAGGTTTAGGGACCCTTGCTAGTTGAGTTTTCCGGCCGCTTGTTGCCTTGGCCCCAGAGGCGGCAGGTAGGAGAGACTGGGGACTCATGCTTGGTTGACCCGTTTGTTCTTTGCTTTTGCTCTGATAGTTTTAAGTTTTGAGTGACTTTGCTTGGGGCCTTGCGTTGCCTTTCCCGGGCAGGCCTCCTGCGTCAGCAGCCTCTGGAGGTTTTTCTCTGTTGCCAGGGACTCTCCCGCCCAGTTGCTGCAGGCTTGTCACTGGGGCTGTGCAGTGGTCAGGAGGGCTGCAGTGACTGTGAGCATCTCCGTCCTGCTGGTTGCTATACAGGCCCACCTGGGCTCGCAGTACTCAGGTTTGAGGGTAAGGGTTTAGGGGTCTGGAACTGGCCTGCGGGGAACCACCACGTAGCTGAGAACAGGGGAAAGCGTGGACCCCGCGCCACTGGCTTGCCGACAATGAGGGGTTGGCGTCGGCCCTGCGCCAAAATTCCGCGTTGAGGGGCAGCGGCCCTTTTTCAGTTCCCTTCATCCTTCCTTCTCTCCCTCTGTGCATGCTGCCCAGGTCAATCCTTTGGCTTTTCGTTCACAGGCAGGGAGTTGC